ATAGAAAATTCTTGGGCTCACTTTTTAAGTTCCTCTAACATGACTTTAGTGCTTTGGCTTTCCACATATCAACATGTCAATGTTATTTTGAAATCTCTTAGTATACACGGTTTTCGTTTGCTGGGTTTTGTTGTGTATACGACACTAAAATATAAAAATTGTATTAGTAGTTTATATCATTTCTACAGACTTTAAAAAGGAGGAGGTATTCAAATCGAGTGTATGTTTTTTTATATGTGCTACCTCATAATTTTTCTCAGGATGACCCGATTTTGATGATTCTTTTTTATTCGAAAGCTGGTGCTTCTCGTGTGGTGCCATTTAAATTTAATCCAAGACCTCATCTGTAGTTTTTGAGTTATCTTTAATAATTCGTATTTAATTGACTTCGAATACATTGTTTCGGTCGTATTGAAGTAGGTTATACAAAATTTTTAATTTTGGCACTTGTTTAAAGTAGTTTAATTAAAAATGCAGTTATAGAAATCCCTCTATTTAAAATACAAAATAAGGGACAATATTACCACCTTATCATCTATGTAGTTTTATATTTAATTAAAGTATAATAACTAGCACACAATCCATTTGATGGTAAGTGAATACTGTGACCCATACACATCTACATCTATCACTAATTAAGAGTCAAAGTGCAGATGACTTGTCTCCCCCAAGGCCTAAAATGGAAGCCTAAAAAGAGTATCCGAATTTCTGAAGTAACTACACGAAACATAGCAGCATATGCTGCTATTTTAGCTGGAATCCAGTTGGGCCCTTCCCTAGTCGAACCGATCACTTCGTGATGCAGCCATAACATAGCAAGGCTTTACAACGTTTTAGACTTCTGAAGTCTGTAAACATCCACTACTTCAAGTAAAGAGGACTACAGTTTCGTTGTCATCTCTTAAAAATAATACGGTATAGCATGAAGCCTGTAATTACCGTGCACTTCCGATCGTTAAGTGACAGCATTGCTGCCTAATGATAGAAATAAATGATATAATGATACACTTTTGGGGGATGAAGCTGCTCACGTCCGTAGGATTTACTTGAATCCTGACTCCCTACACGTATCCCCTGGGTAGTGCTAAGCGAGCAGTACTACATACTGGTGGTAGGTTGGTCCTCTATTAGTGAGAGGCCCGGCCTAGGGTTATTTACCACCCACCTGACATAGATATACCACCAAATGATACAAGTCGTGTTCCGATATGATGTTAGGTGTAATCCAATTCATAGAGAAAATGGGTCTCGACAGTTGCGTTGCGCATAAGATCCGGTTGCAACACGGCCGTCTTGGTGTCAGGTGCCTGTTTATGGAGGTAAGCGGGATCCGAAGCACGGTTGCACCGCTGGCCGACCGTAGACAGTTGGGGACCCAATTAATGAGCCCACTACTCATGAAATGCTGCCCCGCCATCTTACGAAAAATCCTGAGATGGTTTGGTGTGGCGACCGGAGGAGAGGGTCTGGTAGCGATAACCAGGGGGGTATGGGCATCCCCGCAGTCTCCATGCTAGGTAACATCGACGCTGTGACTTTGTTTGCGTCTAGGTTATATGTGTGACGCCTCGTCCAACTGCCATTCTCTCAACCTATTCACTCCAGCAATGATGATAAAAACCAAAAAAGAAGAGGAAGTTTGTACAGTGGTTGCACTCTCTCTTCAAAGTGCACCTCACAAAGATCCGAGGCCTGAACTGTAATCTCAATGAAGTCCATTACCACCTTGAGACTGGCAAGTCGCATTTACTTTTCTTAACTGAAACGCAGATCAGATGTCCTCTAAATGCTGCGTACCTTGGCTACCCTGGGTACATATTGGAGCATAATTTCTATAGGCGCGCCGGAGTCGGTGTTTACGTTCGCAACGACATCTGCTGTAAGCGTCTCCGTCACCTTGAAGACGCTACTTTCTCTATAATCTGGGCATTCATAGACACAGGAATTGATAAATCTATTTATTCCTGTGTCTATCGGTCGCACAGCGGTGACCGGGAGACAACTAGGTTATTTGAACACCTCAGTGAAGCCTCTGAGGCGGATTTAATCGGTACCCTATTGCACAGTTGGATTTTCTTGGGGGACTTTAATGCCTGTCATCAGGACTGGCTGTTCCCACACCAGAAGATCACCCACGCTGGGAGAGAGGCATGGAATTTTGCCTTGTTGCTGGGACTCTCCCAACTGGTACAACAAGCAACTACCTTAGTTGTGGATGGGCACATAGCCCATAGCAGGTACAATGTTTAGGTTACCTCACCCTTGAGAACTTCTGGCCACTGTCTGGTGAAATCTGTGTCGTTATATTCCCCACCCAACTACGATTTCCACGGTGTGCGGAGAGTGTGGCGATACAAGTCAGCAGATTAGGATGAGATGCGGCATTTCTTTGCATTTAATCATTGGCGGCAGGTCTACTTCTCGTCTGAAGATCCGTCAAGCTGCGCTGATACCATAATCGATGTGATACGTCAAGCGATGGAGTATTTTATTCCCTTTGCTGACGTACCCATTGGTGTAAAGCTCGCCCGTGGTTCAACGCTGAGTGCGGTCGTGCTGAAAAGCACAAGCATATGGCGTACTTATCTCGGGTCGATGCTCGAGACCCCAAAGCTCCGGATGTTAGCCTTAAGAAGAGAGCCCTTAACCAAGCTGCCAAGTCTTGCGAAAAGGCGTTAGGCAAGCCTGTTTCGACCGCATTAAACGCATCGATACAAAGCTCTGTCAAACCATCTGGCAGCATCTCTCGCCAAAGCGGTCGAGAAAAACTTCTGTCGGTCTACACTGCCTCCGCTTGTAAAACCAGATGGCTCATTGACGTGTGCTCCTAAAGAGTAAACGGATTTATTTGCTTCTTTTTTTGCTTGTAATTTGCGTCTGGACAGTAGCAACAGCGTACCACCTCCATTACCTCACTGCGGTACCTCTATGTCAGAGGTCCGTATCACCAACAAGGAGGTTCTTAAAACCTTACGAAGTCTAGACGTGAACAAAGCTAGTGGACCTGATGGTATGGATGGATGGCTATAGTTCTAAAGGTCTGTGCCCCTGAGTTGTCTCCTATGTTGACGTGCTTTTTCCGCCTCTCATTCAGGACTGGAATAGTTCCCAAACCTTAGAAGCTGGCCAGTATGCAGCCTGTGCTTAAAAAAGGTATCCGTGCCGACCCTGCCAACTATCGACCAATTTCAATTAGGTACCTCCATACTCTGCAAGACTATGGAGCATATATTGAACGCCTACTTAATGGCATACCTAGAACAAAACGACCTCCTTAGTGACCGGCAATACGGGTTTCGCCAAAATTGGTCAGCTGGTGACCTTCTAGCGTATGCTATACGCGTATGGGGCGAGGCACTCAAGAACAGGGGGAAGCACTTGCTGTTTCCCTTGATATTTCGAAGACCTTTGATAGAGTTTAATACGCTAGCCTTTTGGGTAAACTTCCTGCGTACGGCTTATCCCGTGATCTGATTGAATGGGTAAAGGACTTCCTGAGTGAATATTCTCTCCGTGTCGTCGTCGATGGCTGTTCATCCTATCCTGTGACGACTGACGCCGGTGTTCCTCAAGGGTCCGTTCTCTCCGCAACTCTCTTCCTGCTGCGTATTAATGATCTGCTTATCTATGGGTATGCAGACGATAGCACAGTTGTGGAGAGATACCAACCAAGTGCTCGGGCCAGTCGGGATCAAATCCAGTCTGAATGAGAGGTTATGATTGAGCGTGTCTCACACTACAGGCAGTCTTCGAATTGAAATTCACCTTTAAAAGGAGCCCGCTCACCCTGGCTCCTACTTTCCGGAATGTATCCTTGGGGTACACTGACCGCCTTCAGTTGTTAGGGGTGGAATTTTCTCCGAACCTCAATTATGGGCGGTTCATTGAGTCCAGAGCCAAAGCAGCCGCAAGGAAACTAAGTGTTTTTGCAAGGGTGCGGCGGTAGTTCACGCCGGGACAGCTCCTTACCTTATATAAAGCGCAAGTCCAGTCGTGCATGGAGTACTGCTGTCACATATGGGCTGGTGCTGCAAAATGCAACCTGACATTGTTGGACTCAGTGTAGAGACGTGCTAAGAGGCTCATTGGTGACCTAGATTTGGTTGAAACCAACCTTGTCAGCCTCGAGCACAGGCGCAGAGTAGCCAGCCTCTCAGTATTTTATAGGATGCATTTCGGAGAGTGTGCGCAGGAATTGCACGCTTTAATTCCTCCCTCTCCTTACCACTATCGGACGACCAGGCGGCCGGCGGGTCTTCACCCCTTTGTTGTCGATATTCCACGCATTGGAACCAAACTGTTTACTTCGACTTTTTAATGCGTACAGCAAAGGAGTGGAATAAGTTGCCGGCGTCTATCTTTCCGTCCGAATACAATCAGGGCATCTTCAAGGCAAGAGTGAATAGGCATTTGTTACGCTAAGACAGTGCGATTTATCATCTAAGGCTGCATCACCACTTACCACCAGGTGGGATTGTGGTAAAAGACTGGCTTAATAAGGAGTAAAAAAAACACATAGGTGTTTTTTTACACTAAATAATTTGTAATAAAGAACTTGCCTTTTTGGAAATTGGTTTAAATGGGTTTTTGATACGGAAAGTTTTACAAACGTTCTTATTTATAAAACAGTTTATTGAAAAGGATTTCCTTGAAAATAAGGATAAGGATGTTATCTTTGCTTATCTTTCAAGAAAAATGTGGTGGTTTATAATGGCTAACGGAACTTTTTGGTTAGAACAAACAACTACATAAGAATCTTCAACGACATTCTATGAGTAAGTAATGATAAGAATTTTTACTATGTCTTTGTCTCCTTTAAAAGAAAACATACGATTATAATGCCAACAACACTCCGTCAAGATTTTATCATAATAATCACACTTAGAAAAATGATAAGTTCTATGAAGACGTACTGTAATGACTAACACAGTGGGGTATAAAACTGTTTGCAACCCTTATTAGACATCATTTAGAAGTGAAGCGTTGCTAAACGAGAAATCATGAAAGGTAGTTAGGTTAATAATTATTGGAATTAAATTTTCTTGAAATAATTTCCAAAATTTATTAATTAGTTTAATATTTTTTACAGTCGTACCAATTATTTTATTGACAATTGCCGCAGCGGCTAATTCAGAAAACCTGTGTCCTAAAATACAAGAAGTTGATTGGAAAGTAGAACTGCTGTTACCACACAGGTATTGCAACAAGTTCTATCAATGTACCCACGGTCAGCCGGTGGAGATGTCATGTCCACCAGGGAGTTACTTCAGCATAACCGATCAGGTTTGCACCTGGAGGGAAGATGTTGATTGTGCAAATAGAATAACTATTGAAGATTCGAAGCCAAATGACGGGAAAAGCGAAGAAGTAGATAGACCTGTCTTGCCTATTATAGAATTTCATCCAAATGGTTGCCCGGTAAATGATGAAATACATTGGTTGTTGCCTCACGAGAGAAGTTGCAGTCTATTTTATTATTGTGTGCAGGGTGAGAGAGATATCAGACGATGTCCGTTTTGGTTGCATTTTAACAGGAAGCTTCAGGTATGATATTCCATTCGAGTGACAAATCTCTATTTGTTCTATGAAACTTATAAAAACTTGTGTATTAACGACTTCTTTTATAGAGCAACCTCTTTTCAATGCTCTTCGTTTTAAGGAAAGTCCCCCCCACCGACCTTAAAGAAATGAAATAATATGATAACTTAATTGAATTAAAGTTTTTTGATGAGCAGACAATTTTATGACTTCTTTTGTTGTGAACAGGTTTGTGACTGGCCAAGAAACGCTGGTTGTATCGAGTTTGCAGAGTAACATGACAGCAACACGATATTATAGTAAATAAAAGGAACTTTGTGTACAAAACTACGTAACTTTTATCTATTGATATCAAATAGTTTTATAAATAATATGTATAATTTGTGAATGTTTATTACACGTTAGATATAATATTCAATATTTAATAGGTCTATTTTTAATAAATTTGTTAACGTCACACTGCTGTTATGTTTTTAATTTGTAATACCTTAAGCACAGAATACACACATATATTTTACTGAAATAACGAAATAAATATATGTTTTAAAACTACACCAAAAATTATAAACTTTTTCAAGAACCCAATTGATTATATTAAAACAGCGTCATTTTCGGGGTACCAGAGATTTTGATTGAGATCGAGGAGTTTTATTGACAGCTGCACACATCGTCGATAAATCGCTCGCTGGTGTCCGGAGCGACCCGATAGAATTACAACTGAGCTTCTGAAAGCGAGTGGCGAAGTACATACTTAGAGACCGCCAGAAGCTATTTAATTCTGTCAAATGTGTGGTAGTTTCATTTCTCAAGAAAGATGATAAAGCCGTATTTAAGAATTTCAGTCTGTTTTCTCTACTGAGCAGCGTCTAAGTTCTGTTTTCGAGAGCTATTACTAATCGTCTCGCATGTTAACTCGATGAATTACGAGTACAGCTTCCCGAAAAATCCGGTTTACGAAATGGCTTTTATACCATAAATCTCATACACATTGTTCGGCAAGTTATACAGAAAACTAAGGAGTATAATCTGCCATTATTTCTGCCTTATGTGGAGGACAAGAAGAATACGTTACCGTCACCACTACAACATAAGTATTTATGTCCACTGTTGAACATAGCCCCCCCCCCCCTCCATAGATTGACTTATAGGGTGGATATTTAAATTGGTGGTTATTAGGAAGACGCCGCTGCCTCTCTCGTGATATTTATTCCTCTGTCGCCTTTCAAGAAGAATACTCAGTCGAAATTTGGACGGTGCTACAGTACCTTCAGCGATGCCAAGTTGATAGTTGTTATATCGAGGTGTTAAAGTGCTTGTATAATACCTAACGCCGCTATGTCTACCCGTGTACAGGACAAGAGCACGAAACCTACCCAATCGCAGAGAGGTGTACGTCAAACTAACCTTTTACCTCTGAAACTCTTCGCCGTTACATTGGAAGACGATTTAAGCTACTGGACTGAAATGGATACGGTCTTAAAACAATGGCATATACATCAGTCATCTTCGGTTTGCCAACGATATACTCATTATGGCAAAATCTCCGGAGAATTACCGTTGTAGTTATATGAGTTACTAAATAAAATTGAATTCAAATGACGGCCATGCTTATGTTTGTCTCTTGTTTTTTTTTTAATTTTATCCGAATGTGAATGCACTATATACTAATATTTAACAAACGAAAACTGAAAACATCTATTAAAAGAAAGCGTCACAAAAATATTTGGCAGTGCAACACTTGTAAATGTAGTTTTTCTTCGTGTTTTTAACATATAAATATGTACATAATGTCAATAAATGATAATGAGTAGTATAATATCTAAAACTATTTTATTCCCAATTTCGTGACAACCCCTAGCATATTCGCGACGACAGCGTAAACAGTAAATACCTATGCGAGCGGCGGCATCCCCAGAATTCAAAGCCGTTTCCCAACTGTGAGTTCTTTAAACCATGTTAGCACTATGCCCAATAATCTGAATAGTGTTTCCTATGGGGTAAGTCTAAGATGCTCATGGACAAGTTAAAAATGATGTCTAACGACCGTGTTTCACATATACCGTTAGTTGTGGACAACACACTTGTACGCAGTTGTTTATTTGTATGTATACCAGGGACAAAATGTCCGATTAAGTGAGTACCAACTTCGATCAAGAGTTATTCGATAAGTACTTGCTGTGGCCCATAGATATCTACATCTATCCTCGACTACGAATGTAAATGTAGATGAGTTGTCACCCGTGAGGACCAAGATCGAATGCCTCGTTTCCTGTAAAAGGGGTCTCCGGTTCTCTACACTCAACATACGAAACACAGCAGCATTAAGCTGCTATTTTCTGTGAGAGCGTGTTCCTTATCCGGTCGAGCCGATCCGAAAATGATTTAATAAGTTTACTCTCTCCTCGAGACTGCACTGCTCGTCTTCAAAATACCTTTGGCAGGGAAGCATCTTACATGAGTACCGTCAGGCGTTGATGCGCAGAAGTTGATAGTGGCCGTGTTTCTCCTCGTGATGGAATTCGAAAAGATCGACCCTCACCTGCCATCACTGAGAAAAGTGTGGCTACTGTCAGGCGAATAATTGAAGAAAACCGATATAAGACTTATGAGGGGATTCGAGGACATTTTGGTATTGGTATGAGCTAAATCCAAAAAAATAAATCACATCAACATACAAAAGTTATAAAACTTTGCTGCCGCTGGATTCCTTATGAACTAACCCCAGAGCAATAAAGCCTCGAGTTTATTGGTGTAAAAGATTTTGTTAAATTATGATCACGAAATATTCAAATGCTGTGAATTATATTGTGACAGGAAATGAAACATGGTATAATAATATTTTTATATTTCTGAAAGAAAACAACAGTCTATGTTTCTCTCTGATCTGGATGTTTAAAGGCGACAGCAAACCGACGAAATTGAGGCACTAAGAAGCGTAAGCAAAGAAACGATTACGTTCTTTTTCTCTCAGACGGGTTCTGACCGTACTATCCACCTGAGGAGCAAAAGAAAGCTAATATTGAGTGGTACATATTATTTGATTGTATAGTGTCTTTGAAAAGTTGGGAAAAATGACCAAGAAACCGCACCTTATTGCACAATCACATTGCTTAGGTGCACATCGCGAATAAGATAAAACCATTTTTGGCTTCTAAAAAGGTGGAGCTCGTGACCCATCCTGTATGTACTCCACCTCTCACCAATAAAACCAAAGGTGATGTGGAGAGAGGGTTGTCATTTACAGAGTCAGAAATGTCTTCTTGTTTTTAAAATTGCTTTGAATGAATTTAGAAAGTGTTTTAATGTTTGTGATTGTCTAATTAACGAGTTGAGCAGTGGAAGATCAAGGGCTAAGGACTCGTAATTTCACAGTGACATGACGTGTGCATGACAACTTTTTAGAAAGATGTGGTACGGTTTATGATGACGAACGGAAGTCTTCAGTTAGATCGAATACAACTACATAAGAATCATCAACAACATTATATGATTAAACAGTGATAAGAAATTTTACTATATCTTTGTCTCCTTTAAAAGAAAACATACGATTATAATGCCAACAACACTCCGTCAAGATTTTATCATAATAATCACACTCAGAAAAATGATAAGTTCTATAAAGACGTACTGTAATGACTAACACGGTGGGGTATAAAACTGTTTGCTACCCTTATTAGACATCATTTAGAAGTGAAGCGTTGCTAAACGAGAAATCATGAAAGGTAGATAAGTTAATAATTATTGGAATTAAATTTTCTTGAATTAACTTCCAAACTTTATTAATTCTTTTAATACTTCTTACAGTCCTATCAATTATTTTACTGACAATTGCCGCAGCGGCTTATTCAGAAAACCTGTGTCCTAAAATACAAGAAGTTGATTGGAAAGTAGAACTGCTGTTACCACACAGGTATTGCAACAAGTTCTATCAATGTACTCACGGTCAGCCGGTGGAGATGTCATGTCCACCAGGGAGTTACTTCAGCATAACCGACCAGGTTTGCACCTGGAAGGAAAATGTTGATTGTGCAAATAGAATAACTATTGAAGATTCGAAGCCAGATGACGGGAAAAGCGAAGAAGTAGATAGACCTGTCTTGCCTATTATAGAATTTCATCCAAATGGTTGCCCGGTAAATGATGAAATACATTGGTTGTTGCCTCACGAGAGAAGTTGCAGTCTATTTTATTATTGTGTGCAGGGTGAGAGAGATATCAGACGATGTCCGTTTTGGTTGCATTTTAACAGGAAGCTTCAGGTATGATATTCCATTCGAGTGACAAATCTCTATTTGTTCTTAAACTTATGAAAACTTATAAAAACTTGTGTATTAACGCTTCTTTTATAGAGCAACCTTTTTTTAATGCACTTCGTTTTAAGGAAAGTCCCCCCCCCCCCGACCTTAAAGAAATGAAATAATATGATAACTTAATCGAATTAAAGTTTTTTGATGAGCAGACAATTTTATGACTTCTTTTGTTGTGAACAGGTTTGTGACTGGCCAAGAAACGCTGGTTGTATCGAGTTTGCAGAGTAACATGACAGCAACACGATATTATAGTAAATAAAAGGAACTTTGTGTACAAAACTACGTAACTTTTATCTATTGATATCAAATAGTTTTATAAATAATATGTATAATTTGTGAATGTTTATTACACGTTAGATATAATATTCAATATTTAATAGGTCTATTTTTAATAAATTTGTTAACGTCACACTGCTTTTATCTTTTTAATTTGTAATACCTTATGCACAGAATACACACATATATTTTACTGAAATAACGAAATAAATATATGTTTTAAAACTACACCAAAAATTATAAACTTTTTCAAGAACCCAATTGATTATATTAAAACAGCGTCATTTTCGGGGTACCAGAGATTTTGATTGAGATCGAGGAGTTTTATTGACAGCTGCACACATCGTCGATAAATCGCTCGCTAGTGTCCGGAGCGACCCCATAGAATTACAACTGAGCTTCTGAAAGCGAGTGGCGAAGTACATACTTAAAGACCGCCAGAAGCTATTTAATTCTGTCAAATGTGTGGTAGTTTCATTTCTCAAGAAAGATGATAAAGCCGTATTTAAGAATTTCAGTCTGTTTTCTCTACTGAGCAGCGTCTAAGTGCTGTTTTCGAGAGCTATTACTAATCGTCTCGCATGTTAACTCGATGAATTACGAGTACAGCTTCCCGAAAAAATCCGGTTTACGAAAAGGCTTTACTACCGTAAATCACATACACTTGCTTCAGCAAGTTATACAGAAGACTAAGGAGTATAATCTGCCATTATTTCTGTCTTACGTGGAGGACAAGAAGAATACGTTACCGTCACCACTACAACATATGTATTTATGTCCACTGTTGAACATTTATTGCCTTATAGGGAGGATATTTGTATTGGTGGTTATTAGGAAGACGCTGTTGATCAACTCCTGATATTTATGCCTCTGATGGAGCGGACTCTCAAGAAGAATATTCAGTCGAAATTTGGACGGTGCTACAGTACCTTCAGCGATGCCAAGTTGATAGTTGTTATATCGAGGTGTTAAAGTGCTTGTATAATACCTAACGCCGCTATGTCTACCCGTGTACAGGACAAGAGCACGAAACCTACCCAATCGCAGAGAGGTGTACGTCAAACTAACTTTTTACCTCTGAAACTCTTCGCCGTTACATTGTAAGACGATTTAAGCTACTGGACTGAAATGGATACGGTGTTAACAACAATGGCAAATACAGCAGTCATCTTCGGTTTGCCAACGATATACTCATTATGGCAAAATCTCCGGAGAATTACTGTTGTAGTTATATGAGTTACTAAATAAAATTGAATTCAAATGACGGCCATGCTTATGTCTGTCTCTTGTTTTTTTTTTTAATTTATCCGAATGTGAATGCACTATATACTAATATTTTATTCCCAATTTCGTGACAACCCCTAGCATATTCGCGACGACAGCGTAAACAGTAAATACCAATGCGAGCGGCGGCATCCCCAGAATTCAAAGCCGTTTCCCAACTGTGAGTTCTTTAAACCATGTTAGCACTATGCCCAATAATCTGAATAGTGTTTCCTATGGGGTAAGTCTAAGATGCTCATGGACAAGTTAAAAATGATGTCTAACGACCGTGTTTCACATATACCGTTAGTTGTGGACAACACACTTGCAGTTGTTTATTTGTATGTATACCAGGGACAAAATGTCCGATTAAGTGAGTACCAACTTCGATCAAGAGTTATTCGATAAGTAGTTGCTGTGGCCCATAGATATCTACATCAATCCTCGACTACGAATGTAAATGTAGATGAGTTGTCACCCGTGAGGACCAAGATCGAATGCCTCGTTTCCAGTAAAAGGGGTCTCCGGTTCTCTACACTCAACATACGAAACACAGCAGCATTAAGCTGCTATTTTCTGTGAGAGCGTGTTCCTTATCCGGTCGAGCCGATCCGAAAATGATTTAATAAGTTTACTCTCTCCTCGAGACTGCACTGCTCGTCTTCAAAATACTTTTGGCAGGGAAGCATCTTACATAAGTACCGTCAGGCGTTGATGCGCAGAAGTTGATAGTGGCCGTGTTTCTCCTCGTGATGGAATTCGAAAAGATCGACCCTCACCTGCCATCACTGAGAAAAGTGTGGCTACTGTCAGGCGAATAATTGAAGAAAACCGATATAAGATTTATGAGGGGATTCGAGGATATTTTGGTATTGGTATGAGCTAAATCCAAAAAAATAAATCACATCAACATACAAAAGTTATAAAACTTTGCTGCCGCTGGATTCCTTATGAACTAACCCCAGAGCAATAAAGCCTCGAGTTTATTGGTGTAAAAGATTTTGTTAAATTATGATCACGAAATATTCAAATGCTGTGAATTATATTGTGACAGGAAATGAAACATGGTATAATAATATTTTTATATTTCTGAAAGAAAACAACAGTCTATGTTTCTCTCTGATCTGAGCAGCGACAGCAAACCGACGAAATTGAGGCACTAAGAAGCGTAAGCAAAGAAACGATTACGTTGTTTTTATCTCAGACGGGTTCTGACCGTACTATCCACCTGAGGAGCAAAAGAAAGCTAATATTGAGTGGTACATATTATTTGATTGTATAGTGTCTTTGAAAAGTTGGGAAAAATGACCAAGAAACCGCACCTTATTGCACAATCACATTGCTTAGGTGCACATCGCGAATAAGATAAAACCATTTTTGGCTTCTAAAAAAGGTGGAGCTCGTGACCCATCCTGTATGTACTCCACCTCTTACCAATAAAACCAAAGGTGATGTGGAGAGAGGGTTGTCATTTACAGAGTCAGAAATGTCTTCTTGTTTTTAAAATTGCTTTGAATGAATTTAGAAAATGTTTTAATGTTTGTGATTGTCTAATTAACGAGTTGAGCAGTGGAAGATCAAAGGCTAAGGACTCGTAATTTCACAGTGACATGACGTGTGCATAACAACTTTTTAGAAAGATGTGGTAGTTTATGATGACGAACGGAAGTCTTCAGTTAGATCGAATACAACTACATAAGAATCATCAACAACATTATATGATTAAACAGTGATAAGAAATTTTACTACGTCTTTGTCTCCTTTAAAAGAAAACATACGATTATAATGCCAACAACACTCCGTCAAGATTTTATCATAATAATCACACTTAGAAAAATGATAAGTTCTATAAAGTTGTACTGTAATGACTAACACGGTGGGGTATAAAACTGTTTGCTACCCTTATTAGACATCATTTAGAAGTGAAGCGTTGCTAAACGAGAAATCATGAAAGGTAGATATGTTAATAATTATTGGAATTAAATTTTCTTGCATTAACTTCCAAACTTTATTAATTCTTTTAATACTTCTTACAGTCCTACCAATCATTTTACTGACAATTGCCGCAGCGGCTAATTCAGAAAACCTGTGTCCTAAAATACAAGAAGTTGATTGGAAAGTAGAACTGCTGTTACCACACAGGTATTGCAACAAGTTCTATCAATGTACTCACGGTCAGCCGGTGGAGATGTCATGTCCACCAGGGAGTTACTTCAGCATAACCGACCAGGTTTGCACCTGGAAGGAAGATGTAGATTGTGGAAATAGAATAATTTCTGAAGATTCGGAGCCAGATGACGGGAAAAGCGAAGAAGTAGATAGACCTGTTTTGCCTATTATAGAATTTCATCCAAATGGTTGCCCAGTAAATGATGAAATACATTGGTTGTTGCCTCACGAGAGAAGTTGCAGTCTATTTTATTATTGTGTGCAGGGTGAGAGAGATATCAGACGATGTCCGTTTTGGTTGCATTTTAACAGGAAGCTTCAGGTAAGACATTCCATTAGAGTGACAAATCTCTATTTGTTCTATAAAACTTATAAAAACTTGTGTATTAACGACTTCTTTTATAGAGCAACCTCTTTTTAATGCACTTCGTTTTAAGGAAAGTCCCCCCCCCTCCCGACCTTAAAGAAATGAAATAATATGATTACTTAATCGGATTAAAGTTTTTTTAGATAAGCAGACAATTTTATGACTTTTTTTTCTGAACAGGTTTGTGACTGGCCAAGAAACGCTGGTTGTATCGAGTTTGCAGAGTAACATGACAACAAGATGACATTGTAGAAATAAAAGAAACTTTGTGTACAAAAATACGTAACTTTTATCTATTGATATCGAATAGTTTTATAAATAATATGTATAATTCGTGAATGTTTATTACACATAAGATATAATATTCAATATTTAATAGGTCTATTTTCAATAAATTTGTTAACGTCACACTGCTGTTATGTTTTTAATTTGTAATACCTTAAGCACAGAATACACACATATATTTTACAGAAATAACGAAATAAATATATCTTTTAAAACTACGAAAAGGCTTTAATACCATAAATCACATACACTTGCTTCAGCAAGTTATACAGAAGACTAAGGAGTATAATCTGCCATTATTTCTGCCTTATGTGGACGACAAGAAGAATACGTTACCGTCACCATTACATTAAAACATCTATTAAAAGAAAGCGTCACAAAAATATTTGGCAGTGCAACACTTGTAAATGTAGTTTTTCTTCGTGTTTTTAACATATAAATATGTACATAATGTCAATAAATGATAATGAGTAGTATAATATCTAAAACTATTTTATTCCCAATTTCGTGACAACCCCTAGCATATTCGCGACGACAGCGTAAACAGTAAATACCTATGCGAGCGGCGGCATCCCCAGAATTCAAAGCCGTTTCCCAACTGTGAGTTCTTTAAACCATGTTAGCACTATGCCCAATAATCTGAATAGTGTTTCCTATGGGGTAAGTCTAAGATGCACATGGATAAGTTAAAAATGATGTCTAACGACCGTGTTTCACATATACCGTTAGTTGTGGACAACACACTTGCAGTTGTTTATTTGTTTGTATACCAGGGACAAAATGTCCGATTAAGTGAGTACCAACTTCGATCAAGAGTTATTCGATAAGTACTTGCTGTGGCCCATAGATATCTACATCTATCCTCGACTACGAATGTAAATGTAGATGAGTTGTCACCCGTGAGGACCAAGATCGAATGCCTCGTTTCCTGTAAAAGGGGTCTCCGGTTCTCTACACTCAACATACGAAACACAGCAGCATTAAGCTGCTATTTTCTGTGAGAGCGTGTTCCTTATCCGGTCGAGCCGATCCGAAAATGATTTAATAAGTTTACTCTCTCCTTGAGACTGCACTGCTCGTCTTCAAAATACTTTTGGCAGGGAAGCATCTTACATGAGTACCGTCAGGCGTTGATGCGCAGAAGTTGATAGTGGCCGTGTTTCTCCTCGTGATGGAATTCGAAAAGATCTACCCTCACCTGCGATCACTGAGAAAAGTGTGGCTACTGTCAGGCGAATAATTGAAGAAAACCGATGTAAGACTTATGAGGGGATTCGAGGACATTTTGGTATTGGTATGAGCTAAATCCAAAAAAATAAATCACATCAACATACAAAAGTTATAAAACTTTGCTGCCGCTGGATTCCTTATGAACTAACCCCAGAGCAATAAAGCCTCGAGTTTATTGGTGTAAAAAATTTTGTTAAATTATGATCACGAAATATTCAAATGCTGTGAATTATATTGTGACAGGAAATGAAACATGGTATAATAATATTTTTATATTTCTGAAAGAAAACAACGGTCTATGTTTCTCTCTGATCTGGATGTTTAAAGGCGACAGCAAATCGACGAAATTGAGGCACTAAGAAGCGTAAGCAAAGATACGATTACGTTGTTTTTCTCTCAGAGGGTTCTGACCGTACTATCCACCTGAGGAGCAAAAGAAAGCTAATATTGAGTGGTACATATTATTTGATTGTATAGTGTCTTTGAAAAGTTGGGAAAAATGACCAAGAAACCGCACCTTATTGCACAATCACATTGCTTAGGTGCACATCGCGAATAAGATAAAACCATTTTTGGATTCTAAAAAGGTGGAGCTCGTGACCCATCCTGTATGTACTCCAGACCTCTCACCAATAAAACCAAAGGTGATGTGGAGAGAGGGTTGTCATTTACAGAGTCAGAAATGTCTTCTTGTTTTTAAAATTGCTTTGAATGAATTTAGAAAGTGTTTTAATGTTTGTGATTGTCTAATTAACGAGTTGAGCAGTGGAAGATCAAAGGCTAAGGACTCGTAATTTCACAGTGACATGACGTGTGCATAACAACTTTTTAGAAAGATGTGGTAGTTTATGATGACGAACGGAAGTCTTCAGTTAGATCGAATACAACTACATAAGAATCATCAACAACATTATATGGTTAAAAAGTGATAAGAAATTTTACTATGTCTTTGTCTCCTTTAAAAGAAAACATACGATTATAATGCCAACAACACTCCGTCAAGATTTTATCATAATAATCACACTCAGAAAAATGATAAGTTCTATAAAGACGTACTGTAATGACTAACACGGTGGGGTATAAAACTGTTTGCTACCCTTATTAGACATCATTTAGAAGTGAAGCGTTGCTAAACGAGAAATCATGAAAGGTAGATAAGTTAATAATTATTGGAATTAAATTTTCTTGAATTAACTTCCAAACTTTATTAATTCTTTTAATACTTCTTACAGTACTATCAATTATTTTACTGACAATTGCCGCAGCGGCTAATTCTGAAAACCTGTGTCCTAAAATACAAGAAGTTGATTGGAAAGTAGAACTGCTGTTACCACACAGGTACTGCAACAAGTTCTATCAATGTACTCACGGTCAGCCGGTGGAGATGTCATGTCCACCAGGGAGTTACTTCAGCATAACCGACCAGGTTTGCACCTGGAGGGAAAATGTTGATTGTGCAAATAGAATAACTATTGAAGATTCGAAGCCAGATGACGGGAAAAGCGAAGAAGTAGATAGACCTGTTTTGCCTATTATAGAATTTCATCCAAATGGTTGCCCGGTAAATGATGAAATACATTGGTTGTTGCCTCACGAGAGAAGTTGCAGTCTATTTTATTATTGTGTGCAGGGTGAGAGAGATATCAGACGATGTCCGTTTTGGTTGCATTTTAACAGGAAGCTTCAGGTATGATATTCCATTCGAGTGACAAATCTCTATTAGTTCTATGAAACTTATAAAAACTTGTGTATTAACGACTTCTTTTATAGAGCAACCTCTTTTTAATGCACTTCGTTTTAAGGAAAGTTCTCCCGCTCCCCCCGACCTTAAAGAAATGAAATGATATGATTATTTAATCGGATTAAAGTTTTTTTAGATAAGCAGACAATTTTATGACTTCTTTTGTTCTGAACAGGTTTGTGACTGGCCAAGAAACGCTGGTTGTATCGAGTTTGCAGAGTAACATGACAGCAACATGATATCATTGTAGAAATAAAAGAAACTTTGTGTACAAAAATACGTAACTTTTATCTATTGATATCGAATAGTTTTATAAATAATATGTATAATTCGTGAATGTTTATTACACATTAGATATAATATTCAATATTTAATAGGTCTATTTTTAATAAATTTGTTAACGTCACTCTGCTGTTATGTTTTTAATTTGTAATACCTTAAGCACAGAATACACACATATATTTTACTGAAATAACGAAATAAATATATATTTTAAAACTACACTAAAAATTACAAACTTTTTCAAGAACCCAATTGATTATGTTAAGACAGCGTTATTTTCGGAGTACCAGAGATTTGGAGTGAGGTCGAGAAGTTTTATGGACAGCTGCTCACATCGTCGATAAACTGCTCGCTAGTGTCCGGAGCGACCCGATAGAATTACAACTCAGCTTCTGAAAGTGGGTGGCGAAGTACTTAAAGACCTCCAGAAGCTATTTAATTCTGTCCTTCACAGTGATGTGTCTCCGTAATGGCGGAGCAAATGTGTGGTAGTTTTATTTCTCAAGAAAGGTGTTAAAGCCGTATTTAAGAATTACAATCTGTTTTTATCTACTGAGCAGCGTCTAAGTGCTGTTTTCGAGAGCTATTACTAATCGTCTCGCATGTTAACTCGATGAATTACAGCTTCCCGAAAATTCCGGTTTCCGAAAAGGCTTTAATACCGTAAATCACATACACTTGCTTCAGCAAGTTATACAGAAGACTAAGTATAAATGATTATTTTCCTGTGAAGATTACCGTCACCATTACAACATATGTATTTATGTCCACTGTTGAACATTTATTGCCTTATAGGGAGGATATTTGTATTAGTGGTTATTAGGAAGACGCTGTTGATCAACTCCTGATATGTATGCCTCTGATGAGAGCGGACTCTCAAGAGGAATATTCAGTCGAAATTTGGACGGTGCTACAGAACCTTCAGAGATGCCAAGTTGATAGTTGTTATATCGAGGTGTTAAAGTGCTTGTATAATACCTAACGCGCCTATGTCTACCCAAGAGTCTACCTAAGAGGTTATGAAGGACCATTGAATCCAACTCAGCTGGGCTGCGTTCGGGAAATTAGAACTAATCTTTTTATCCGGTATACCTCAAAATCTTAAGGCGAAAGTGTGTAGTGCGTATTACCAATAATGACAGATATACTGTGTGCTGGTTTTGCACTTTAATTGAAACAAAAACCACATACCTATTTTAAATATACATATTTCTATAACTGCTGCTCTATAAAAAAACATACAAATAAAAACAAAAGCCTAAAATTAATTTTATAATTGTAGTATCGGAACCGGTAAATAAATGTGAACTGCATTATAATCAATAGGGTTATTCGCTGAGCAGTTACAATAATATAATTAATTTTTAATATATCAGCACTCGCGATTGTGCTTGAGATCAAAGTGCCTTGTGCCGTCAATGTAGAGATAGCTGCGGGCGCGCGGCCTACGCCACCGCCGCTCCCCTGAAGACTCCGCCGTCGTCTACTTTGTTTGTGAACATGTAGAGTCGTATAGAGAACAAAATCCGGCAATTGAAAACCGAGAATACTAAAAGATTTCAAAATAATATTAACATGTTAATATGCGGCAGTGTTAAAGCCATATTAGAAGAACTTGCAAAGTGAGGTCAATCGTTCTTTATAGCATTGTGGCCTAAGTATTGTGTTTCTTCTATTATTCCTCATTTTGTAGTCCTTAATTCATACTTAAGGAAAAACAACAAATAGAAACCACGAGCAAACATTTTCAAGTGCTTTTTTCTTTTGAAAATATTTTTCCAAAATTTGATGAAATCACAGTTTCTAGAAATTTTGGTTATGTTTGCCGCAACACATTAGAAATAATTTATTCGGAAATTATGTTTTTAAAGATTTAACACTATTTTAGACTGCAGTAGTACACTGATTATATATGTAATGAAAATATATGTAATGTAATGAAATATATGATACATTTCAAATTAACAAATCAGTATGTTGTTGCGATAAAAATTTCCAAATCCATGAGGTAAATCTCTTTCAAGTGACTACGAAACTGAACGTCACTCGATATGTCGACGCCAAGGATTCCGATAATGGCTGAGGCAACAAGGGGAGTGTCTTGAAACTGAGGAGATACGAGATACAAAAGGGTTCTTTTTAGCGGTTAACGCGCAAACTTGTGTCTTCTGAGGGTTAAACTGGACTAGATTTAATCGCCCCCAATACGAGACTCTGTTCAGCAAGGATTCGACTTGAGAGACAAGTTTGTCCCGGTACTCGGAGACGTTTTCCCGAGAAATATGTACACGGCTGGCGAACAGAGCATCACCAGTGCTGTAATCTGCATAGCAATGAATGTTACGGGTTTGCAACATACTCGTATCATTGATATACAGAAGAAACAGCGTTATCGATAGTACGCAGCCTTGGGGAACACCAGCATTAGTAGGCTTGTAATCGGAGATTGTACCATTTACAATAACCTTGATGCTCCGGTCTGCAAGAAAACTGGTGATTCAATTGCACAATTTCTCCGGAAGCCCATAGGAAGGGAGCTTCGAAAGAAGCGCTTTGTGCCAAACCCGATCGAAGGCCTTCGGAATGTCCAAACTAACGGCCAATGCCTCCCCGTTGGACTCTATTGCCTCCGTCCATCTACGAGTTAGGTAGAACAGAAGATCACCAGCTGATCGACCACGGCGAAAACCGTATTGGCGATCACTAATCAGATGGTGATCCTCAAGGTACCTCATGAGCTGGCAGTTTAAAATGGACTCCATTGTTTTGGAGAACAAGGAGGAGATGGCGATAGGCCGTCGACATTTAAAAGTTATAAAACTTTGCTGCCACTGGATTCCTTATGAACTAACCCCAGAACATGAAAAGGCTAGAGTTTATTGGTGTAAATTTTTTTGTTAAATTATGATCATCAGGAAATGAAACATAGTATAATAATATTTTTATATTTCTGAGAGAAAACAACAGTCTACTGTATGGATGTTCAGAGACGACAGCAAACAGACGAAATTGAGGCAGCTAAGAAGCGTAGGCAAAGAAACGATTACGTTGTTTTTCTCTCAGACGGGTTCTGTCCGGACTATCCCATCTGATGAGCAAAGAATGCTAATATTGAGTGGTACATATTATTTGATTGTACAGTGTATTTAAAAGTTGGGAAAAATGACCAAGAAACCGCACCTTATTGCACAATGACATTGCTTAGGTGCACATCGCGAATAAGATAAAACCATTTTTTCTTCTAAAAAAGTGGAGCTCGTGACCCATCCTGTATGTACTCCAGACCTCGCACCAATAAAACCAAAGGTGATGTGGAGAGAGGGTTGTCATTTACAGAGCCAGAAATGTCTTCTTGTTTTTAAAATTGCTTTGAATGAATTTAGAAAGTGTTTTAAATGTTAATGCAGAGAAAAGCAATAAAGACTGTGTTTTTAATGTTTGTGATTGTCTAATTAATGAGCTGAGCCGTGGCAGATCAAGGGCTAAGTGCTAGCAATTTCACAGTGACATGACGTGTGCACGACAACTTTTTAGAAAGATGTGGTAGTTTATGATGGCGAACGGAACTCTTCAGTTAGATCGAATACAACTACATAAGAATCATCAACAACTGTATATGATTAAACAGTGATAAGAAATTTTACTATGTCTTTGTCTCCTTTAAAAGAAAACATACGATTATAATGCCAACAACACTCCGTCAAGATTTTATCATAATAATCACACTCAGAAAAATGATAAGTTCTATAAAGACGTACTGTAATAACTAACACGGTAGGGTATAAAACTGTTTGCTACCCTTATTAGACATCATTTGGAAGTGAAGCGTTGCTAAACGAGAAATAATGAAAGGTAGATATGTTAATAATTATTGGAATTAAATTTTCTTGCATTAACTTCCAAACTTTATTAATTCTTTTAATATTTCTACAGTCCTACCAATCATTTTACTGACAATTGCCGCAGCGGCTTATTCTGAAAACCTGTGTCCTAAAATACAAGAAGTTGATTGGAAAGTAGAACTGCTGTTACCACACAGGTATTGCAACAAGTTCTATCAATGTACTCACGGCCAGCCGGTGGAGATGTCATGTCCACCAGGGAGTTACTTCAGCATAACCGACCAGGTTTGCACCTGGAGGGAAGATGCTGATTGTGGAAATAGAATAACTATTGAAGATTCGAAGCCAGATGACGGGAAAAGCGAAGAAGTAGAAAGACCTGTCTTGCCTATTATAGAATTTCTTCCAAATGGTTGCCCGGTAAATGATGAAATACATTGGTTGTTGCCTCACGAGAGAAGTTGCAGTCTATTTTATTATTGTGTGCAGGGTGAGAAAGATATCAGACGATGTCCGTTTTGGTTGCATTTTAACAGGAAGCTTCAGGTATGATATTCCATTAGAGTGACAAATCTCTATTTGTTCTATGAAACTTATAAAAACTTGTGTATTAACGACTTCTTTTATAGAGCAACCTCTTTTTAATGCACTTCGTTTTAAGGAAAGTTTCTCCCGCTCCCCCCGACCTTAAAGAAATGAAATAATATAATTATTTAATCGAATTAAAGTTTTTTAGATAAGCAGACAATTTTATGACTTCTTTTGTTCTGAACAGGTTTGTGACTGGCCAAGAAACGCTGGTTGTATCGAGTTTGCGGAGTAACATAATAGCAAGATGATATTATAGTAAATTAAAGCAACTTTGTGTACAAAACTACGTAACTTTTATCTATTGATATCAAATAGTTTCATAAATAATATGTATAGTTTGTGAATGTTTATTATACATTATATATAATGTTCAATATTTATTAGGTCTATTTTTAATAAATTTGTTAACGTTACACTGTTTTTATCTTTTTAATTTGTACCTAATACCTTAAGCACAGAATACACACATATATTTTAATATATGTGTGTATATATGTAATGAAATAACGAAATAAATATATATTTTAAAACTACACACAATATATGGTACCCCAAAAATGATAAACTTTTCCAAGAACTCAACTGATTATGAGTCAGCGTCATTTTCGGGGTATCAGAGATTTTGAGTGAGATCGAGGAGTTTTATGGACCTCTGCACTATATATATTCATAAAAGTAGAAATATTGAAAAAGAGTTAAAAATGTGCAAAATTATTAAAGAGTTAATCACTGAGGTATTGTTTTATTTATTAATATAATACTCTATAAGTACGTGCCAAGTCGGTTGAGAAAAACGGACATTGACTTCAGATATGAGCCGAGTTTCAAAAGGCGTAATTTAAAAATTCTCAATTTAGATGTGATAACAATGTTAAAATATCATTGAGCTATTATGTACTACGTACTAGAGTCGACACTGTATTCAGCTACTCTGTTCCACTCAACTGCGGTGCATACACCGCAATTTAATCAGTCATTCGCTAGGCGCTTATAGAGTTGTCACGTGTTGTGTTGATTTAAAAAAATCTCTTGTTAAAATATGCCGTCGTGTGTCTTAGATATTGCACAAATAATTCAAGAAATGTCGGTAAAAACCAAGGATTTACTTTTCATCGGTTAATAAAACAATTAATCAATAAAAAAAGTATTATGTATTAATAATAAAATAAATTATTTCTAAGACGTCATCTCGTGTCAGGGAATATAGATTATGAAATAAATATGTTCAGATACGACATTTCTGTGGGTACTTAAGTATAGGACGAATATATTATTATACACATTTTTTTTTGTAGAAACATATGTCAGTTATTATAATTTGGCAAAATTTTTCATGTTTAAATCTGCTTATTATTCTTTTATTTTATTTTTAGGTTTCCACGTCAAAGTTAAAGTGGTATAAATTCATCCATTTTTAACTCTCGCGTGTACAGCATTTATGAAAGTCTTTTATTCTAATTTAAATAAATATATTTGTAATTTAAATGTTAAGTTAATAAGTTTTGTTAAACATACATTTAGTCTGTTTTTTATATTTGACTCAGATACCTTTTGAAATGTTCAGATAAAAATATCATTGAAATGTAATTGTAATATAATATCATGTAATATTATATTAAATAAGCAAATATAATATACAAAATAAATGACAAAATTTAAATATTGTTCTCTATATAATTTATCTATTTAACAATACAATCTACTATTACCTACGGGTCATTCTACCTATGTTTATTCTATGATAAAAAAACAACCGCGCGGACACAGCGTAGCGCACATTTTTTGTTTGAGATAGCTGTTATAGTACGTAAGTACATATGCGTCCGGAAATGCGTCACTTTTTTGGGCCGGTCCGCATGCACCGAATAAAAATAAAGTTCTAATATAATATTGACAATAAAATTTTATCTTTTGAATAAGTACGTACTTATTCGGTATCATTATCACTCGAATCTTTATATGTGTTATAAATTAATGCTTTTTGTTGTTAAATGAATAAAGTACTTTATAACAATAGATGATTTTTCTACTACAGTAGGGCTGCCATACGTCCCGGTACACCGGGACATGTCCCGGTTTGAAGCGTTGTGTCCCGGTGTCCCGGTCAACAGGTCATTTGTCCCGGTGTGCACACAATTCGCAAGCTACCCCTGTGTAGTTAAGTGCAGCGTCTGCGATCGGCGAGTGGTTGAAGTGGAGCGGAGTCGAGCGAGCGAGCCTAGCTGCCTTCTTTGATTATTAACACGTGCGCGTAGGGGTTGCCAACTTTTTCAAAGGAAAATAACGTATATTCCTTTCAGACGGTTATATACACTATAATTATTACTATTCCACCGAAACAACAAACGTTGAGCATAGAGTACAGAGTAAAATATATACTGGAGACATTGACTGACACTTGACTGTACTGACAGTACAGATTTTTCGAAAGTTGTATGATAATGTATTTTGTTGTTATTCTGTTCTGTGTATGTGTGAAAGTATAAAATGATTGGAAATTCTGAGTAATGGACTGAGTTAAATTCAGAAATTTCGCAGAATTCTTGCTTTCATTCAATTCACACAATATTTCACGCATAAGGTAGAATAAAGTATTTTAGATACTTTTTTTCTTATTCAAAAGTATAAAGTATAATCAAGTAAAATACTGTAAGATACGTTATTTTGAAGTATAGTTGGCAACACTACGTGCGCGTCCCGCGCCGCGTGCCCCTCCGCCCTCGCGCCTTGAACGTCACGCGTCGTCGCAGTGTTTCGTTTGATTGCTTTAGAGAACAACGTACTTAATTTGCGCTGCGCGTTATCCTGTATTTCGTAGTTTAGTTTTTTTATTGCCAGTCTGGTATTTTGCTAAAAAGTCATGCCAAAAAAGAAAGTGTTTGTTTTCGGACGATTATACTAAAGAGTGGTCATTCATTAAAAGAGGAAGAAATGATTATGAAGCCTTTTGTTCAATTTGCGGCTTTCATATATCTGTCAGTCACGGCGGTAAGTCAAGTGTCAAAGACCATATCCAAAGTAAAAATCACAAGACGAAATTATCAGTTGCATCAACTTCTAGAGATATATCGACATTTATGATCACGCAATGTACTGCCGAAGACATGTTAATATGCGCTGCCGAACTGACCACAGCTTATAAAGTCGTAAAGCACCACCAATCGTTTAGCTCTTTAGATTGTACGACAAAACTGAATGCCGTAATGTATCCTGATTCAAGTATCGCAGCAAAACAATCAACTGCAAGAACAAAAGCTACTGCTATCATTAAACACATTTTAGCTCCACACTCGATCGCGCAAATTAAAACAGAAGTCGAAAAAGTTCCTTTTTACGGCATTTCAACCGATTCTAGCAATCACAAAGCCGAAAAGTTATTTCCACTGCTGATACAGTACTTTACGGAAAAAGAAGGACTGCAAATTAAATTACTAAAAATAGACTCATTGCCGAATGAAACATCTGATACAATCACTTCATTTTGTATAAAATCGTTGCAGGATCAGAACATCCCCGTACAAAATATTGTTGCTTTCAGCGGGGATAACACAAACACTAACTTTGGCGGAAGAGATAGGTACGGAGTTAACAATGTTTTTTTTTAAATTAAAGGAGATTTTGTCCAAAGACATTGAAGGCATCGGTTGCCCAGCGCACATTCTGCACAATACAGCGTCCACTGCTGCCGATGTGATGTCGATTGACGTGGAGTCTATTGTTCTGAAAATTTTCAAGTATTTTTCCATATTCACTGTAAGAGTGGAACGGCTTAAAGATTTTTGTGAGCAAGCAGCAATAGAATACAACAATATACTCTCACATTCCAGAAGTCGGTGGCTTTCACTACTTCCAGCAATTGAACGAATTTTTCGCTAAGGAAGCAAAAGCCCCAAAAGCTGTAGTCGATTTTTTTTGCTGATCCCTTATCAGAAGTTTACACACTTTTTGTGCACAGTCAAGCATTTCTGATTGAAAAACAAATTAAAAAGATTGAAAAATCAGTTATTACCATTGTTGAAGTGAAAAATGTATTACAGGATACAAAAAAAACAGTTGAGTGACAGATTGATAAATAAATATTTAGGCAATCAAACAACACAACTTTATAACAAACTAAAGAATGAAGGCACAATTAATACAAGTCAATCCGAAACATTTGACAAAGAAACAGGAGATTTCTTTAACACTGCTATATGTTATCTCGAACAGTGGACAGAGCCGATGACAAAATTTGATGTTTTCGCTTGGATGATTTTAAATGATATTCCTCAATGGCAACAAGTAGAAGAAACTACAAAATATTTAAATGAAAAGGATATAGGAATAGATGATTCAATGTATGAAGAATTTATGTACTTAAAATCGTTTATTGAATGTGAAATCAGCGATGAATGGAAAGCTAAAAATATGGAAGCAAAATGGAAACACTTTTTTTGAAAAAAACCGAAGAACTGGAAAGAAAAGCAAATCTTCTTAAAATGTGTCAATATATTTTTGCAATCCCAGGCCACAATGCTCACGTAGAACGAGTGTTTTCGTTAGTTTCAGCGCAGTGGACGAAAGAACGAAGTTCACTCAGTGTAAGCACAATCGAAAGCATCATTCAATGCGTTTATAATTATAAAATGTCATGCACGGAATTTTATAATTACGTCAAAGGGGAAAAGGAATTACTGAAAAAGGTTAAAAGTACAGAGAAATATGAATGGGCAAAAAAAAGGACGTAGTGTAAGAGTTTCTTATTTTTTGATTAAATTTCTTAAATATTACCAGTGTTTTTGTATAATCCATGATTTACCCTATTTCTGTTCTAAATGTCCCGGTCGGCGTCTCGGAATTTATGGCAGGCCTATACTACAGCGATCTTTTACATAACTTTTTAATAATAGTTAATAAATATATATTATATTTAAAATAATCATTGTCTATTCCAATTTTCTAATAATAAAAATTGTCCGTTTTTCTCAATCGATTTTGGCACGTACTAAAACTGATAAATTTATATTTAAAAACTTCTTTCTCAGTAAAATTACATTGTTTAACAAAAAACTTCACCTCAGTGTCAACTAGCTACATCTGGTGAACGGATGATTATTAACCCTCATTAGCTTGAGAAAGTTTAGTGAAACCAATAGTGGCAGCGTCATTTACAGAGTACCACACGTTTACGAATCATTTATTGTGTGAAGTTTTAAGAATATAATTATTTATTTCACCTTCACGAATTTCATCATGGAGAGAAACACGGACACAATCAAATTCTGGAAATCAACGTCTTATGGTGCTTAAATGAGGTGCTTCCCTCCCAAAAGCATTTTGAAGACGAGCAATGCAATATTGCGGAGAGAGTAAACTTTTAAAAATCATAAAATATTATCACCCAATACGCTACGGATAATTCCATTTTTATACAGATGACAAACTTCAACTTTTTATTAATAAAAAAACAATTGTAACGCAACTTGCCGCCAAAAATTATTTCATTCATATTAAGAAATTCTTATATTTAAAAAAAATATAACGTTCGAAATTCAAACATTTATGAGCGGCCGGGAGGGCAAAAATTTCAATGAGCCCTACATATAGGTTTTGTGGCTATTTTATGCCCAGGTGTCCATCTGGATAAGCATCACCATCTTATCTATTTTTGGCACTAAGATCACTAAGATCAGGCTGTAAGGCATTCCATCTTAGTCTTAAGAGGTGACAGTAGTCCTATTTTTCGTATTATCAAGTGTCCAAAGACTTAAGAGTAGTTAGTTTGTACCAGTGCTGCTTCGTGAGCCAGAACTCGTACAAACTAACAGAAAAAGTCAAAGTTGAATATCGATTATACAAAAAAGGTGGTGATGTTATTCGATCATAAAAAATATAAAAAAAACATATCTTTATATACAAAAATAACATGTTTAAATCGTTTGTCCGCGATGAACTCCTATACTATTGTACTGATTTCAATGAAATTTATTAAATTTGTATTGCTTGCTCCAATTCGAGAGATAGGGTAGTTTTTATCCCGATAAGTGACCCTCAATATTTTTATTGCGTATTTAAGGATTTTTATTATAGGCAAAGGATCGTCGGAACATGCAGAATGACGTCTGCCTGACCAGTTAGTAAACTGTAGATAAATGGTAGAACTTTATGGGCGGTCACATTAACAACTTAAGTTATACTGAGTATTTAAACTAATTGGCCTTTGACCATTTTAGAAGTATATACAGATATAAATATGCTGGTGCACCTTTTAGTTGTACCGTTACCGTTATAGCCTATTAAAGTCCACTGCTTACACAGACCTCCCCAACAGATTGCCACACAGGGGGGATATTTGCCATAGTTGTCACGCTTGGCAAGCGGGTTGGCAACTACAGTTTTTTTTTCTATATTACTCGTTATTAGGAAGACAATCTTCTGATTTGTGTTTCCCTGAGTCGCCTCTTGCGGCATCCACGGGGTGTATGTGATAGTGGATATTCTTACAACATCACTACACGGTAATTTGTAGTACATGATTATTAAATTCGTTTGCTTGATATTAACGTTTAGAGTCTGCTATGAGCATCGTAAACAGTGATAAGAGCATCTGATATATCTGTGTCCGTCGCGACCAAAAATTATATACAAAACAAGATAATAATACTAATAACTAGTTATGAAGGTCTTATAAGATAGCAAAAGGAATATTGTTATTCTATTAAGTGATAAAAATATAAATACGCACCGTAGTGAGTAACATTGTGGGGTATAAAAGCACCTGCACCCTATAACGGGCATTTATTGAAAAAAAAAGCGTTGTAAGAAACCATGAGAGGTAAAATTGTCTTTGATTATCGTCCTATGCAAATATTTATAAGCGATATCTTCTAAATATTTTAATAATAACAAAGAGATCAATTAGAACCCGCGTAAAAGAACACATAGCTGACGTGAAGCATCAACGTTCCGGGAAGTCTGCAGTTTGCGATCATATTCTAGATGGCCCATCAGATTTGATAGACCACAAATCCTCGCGAAAGATCATTGATTCCTACCAAGAATGATACGAAAGGCTATTGAAATTAAAAAAATATCCTAATTTCAATAGAGAAGGAGGCTGGGTACTACCACCTGCTTGGGATCCTATAATTAATAAAATTAAAACTAAACCCAAGCATACCACTGCAAGACTTCAAAATACAGTTAGTTCATTCTGCGTAGATCGGACCAAAGACAATAATTAAAAAGCTGAAGGTACTCCGGGTTAACTTTGACATCGGGACGTCAGTCACCTCAGTCCCCCGTGACCATGGGTGCTGGAAAGCACCCGAAACGTCGGGTATTAAAATTAATATAAATAAAACGCGTAAAATCCTTAAAACTAGTTTTAATCAATGTATAGTGTTCGCTTAAATATAAGAAATCATTATGTTTTATTCATCCGTCATGCCACAGAGTAAATTAGTACCCAAAATTGCCATTAACAATGGTGCCGGCAGAAATCACACTGTAAAATTTACAGAGTTAATCGTTATCATAATGTGCATATATAAATTGATTTTATGTATTTTTTACATAGCTAAAATTTGAATGCTCACTGATGACTTAGTGGCGGTGTTTTTGCCTAAAAACCATGGGTTTTGTTCAGTTTTCGAAACCCCATAATTTAAATTAGAATGCATTTGTACTAGAAATATGTTTCTTATAATTTTATTTCTTTACAGGCTTGCGACTGGCCGATAAATGCCGGCTGTAAAAATTAAATCAAGCAATAAGCGGCAACAAAAATGCAGTAAAGTTTTTAGAAGCTATCAAAATACTAATTGATTCAGTGTTTTAAATATTTTATTGTATATGATAGTATTGAGTATGTATAAGCTAAAAATAAAAATAAACATAAATTATTTTGGTTTTTCATTCTGATTCAATATTTTTCTACATTAATTAATTAATATTATTTAATAATAATAGGGTTTCAAAGGCAATGTGAAACCAAATCTCTCCAGGTTTGGATAAAGTAATCAGGCAATCATAACGTTAATTATTTCACGTTATAAAGTGTACAAGAAAATAAAATCAATATACATATAATAAATTTTACTATAGTTAAAATAGATATTCGTAAAATTAAAATGCAGCGTCAATGTGTGTATCTAGTATTGAAACAGCAATACGCCTGCCTGGCAATTTGATGGCGATTATGGGGAATCCACCCTGCAATGTGAAATGCCAATGTCTAATAGAGACTGTTAAGTGCTTATGAAGAATATTGCTAAAAGAATAGAAAAATAAGCAAATATTTTTATTTATATTCTTCCATCGGAGTATCAGACGTACCGTTATGGCTATCATCCACACTTGGATGACATTCTGAATATTTGCATACGCTATAGTTATCTTTATAATGCAGACAGCCTTTAGCCTTTTTTTAAATGCGCGTTGCTCTACAATGTGCGTGTGAACCTGCTTCTTCTGTGCAAACTCGTTTTTTCGTAGACCTCATCTTTACCCTCGACCCAGATGGAGGTCATGAGTGAACGAATTGTTAATGAAAAAAAAATATGACCTCTAAGCCACATACATAATTTTGATAATTCCTGGCCGATTTCAATTAATCCTATAGGTATTTTATTCTTACGTTCGTTTAAAGTTGTCCGACGCATAGTTAATTTATAGTATGGCCGAAATGCGTTTTAATTTTTTATAGAATAAGGATGTAAAACGGCCACACAGACCACCTGATGGTAAGTGGATGGTGTGGCCCATAGACCACACCATCCACTTACAAATAAAATCAAAAAGAAGAATTAAAATCAGACACAAAGAGGGTTGCAAACGATTACATAGTTCACTTGATGGTAAAAGTGGACACCCTGAGGAATCAAAACTCAGATACGTTGTCACTCCCGAGGACTAAGATTGAAGGCCTCGTTTCTAGTAAATAGTCTACGGTTCTCTACACTCACCATACGAAACACAGCAGCATTAAGCTGCTATTTTGCACTGATTACAACCCTCTCAGAAATGAGGGGAGGCCTGTGCCCGGTAGTGGGACGTATATAGGCTGTTGTAACTTTACTTTACTTTTACTTTTTACAGTGATATTTTGTGAGAACGTGGTTCTATCCCAGTCGAGCCGACCTATTCGTCGTACAGACATAATACAGCTGCATCGTGGCTCTAGCACGTACACATTCAGTTGTCCAAAGGTTACAGAGTACGTTACGGATTGCTTCATATTGTATTATGGTACATTACTAGAAATATCTCTATCCGGGTTGTTTTGGATATAATACCGGGTGGCCCATAAGTCCCTTGAAATGTAAAAAAAATAATTTAAAAAAAAACTAATGACATTATGAAAAAGGTTTTTATTTTGTCATAATCCTTATAAAATGGGAATTATTTTTTGAAAATTACATCATCTAAATGTAATCCGTTACGATCGCGGCGCTCCT